TTCTTTCCGCCCGTTCACCCTCTCTGCTCTTTTTCTCATTCTCGGCGTGCTGAGCTGGGGTTGCGCGCCGGCGATAATTCAAAAAAGTTTCTTGCCCTGACATAATAGCGCCATGGGAGCAGACCGCATAAAGAAGCGCAGCAGCGCTAAAGTGTCAGATGAAATTATTTTTTACTCCTCAGCCAGCAGCACTGCGCGCGAGCGAGCCATTTTTTTCCTATCCTCCGCCCTGAATAATAATTTAAAATAAATATATGAAATCTCAAGTGCAGGCCGAGAGAGCCAGCGTTGGCGCAAATCCAGTTCGGGGACAAAGAAGAAAAGCTAGAGCGCGCGCAGTAACTTTTGCCCTCTCTGGCTGCTGCGGAGGAGCCTTATCCTTATTCATGCAGCAGCACCCTACGCTCTTCTTCACACCAGCAAAATACGTACATATATATTTACTTTCGCGGCGGCGGCTGGATATATTATGACGCCCCGGCAACTCTCCGATCGCCGCGCGCGTTATATAAAAGTGTGCGGCTCTCCATAATCGATGCGGAAAGGGCACCTAACCCTCATTTCTCGCGCTGCACAAACCACGCCTACCTATGTGCATCTATGAATATTTTCCGATAGTACCCTCGTTCTCTTCGCCGCCGTCCTGAGATGATAAAACGTCTCCAGCTCGTAATCATAAACCTTTTTACGCTTTCCATTCTTATAGGTCTTGAGAAATTCAATCTCTTTTTGGACGCAAAATAAAATAATTTGTATGGTCGAAATTCAGACTTTACCATTTTTGTAAAGCAAACTTTCCAGGTTTAGTTTGAGAATTTATAAAATCTCTTCTAAAATTCAATTTATCGATTCTGATTCAATGGAAAAATTTAAAAAAAATAATAATTTAGTTTTTCTCATGAATGACATTATTTCCTTTTTGAATACCATTCTATATGTTTCCTCAAAATTGCTCAGTTCTTCAGTACAACATTTTGTGTGTGTTTTTTTTATGATTAGTGAGGACCAGTTTTGATTCTTTAACACCCTCTCCACCAAAATAAATTTAAAATTATTTTTGAAAGAGCACAATTTTTCATATCTGCGCAAAATTAAACCAATTAAGATGAAAATTTGTTTCTAAAAAAGGTTTTCCACCCCCCACCCCTTAAAAAGAAAAAAATATTTTGAAACCGAGAGATGCATTGGTTTTTAAGATACCCAGAAATTTGATAAAACAGCAAATTGCCCAAATTCTCTAAATAGAAAAAAAAATAATAATAAAATTGAGTGGTAAAACCTTCTGCACCATCAAAAAAGGGCACAGGCCGACAAGACTTTGTCTTTGGCCTGACCTTAAAAAAATTGAGATTGACACTTCCCTCATAGTTCAAAACCTTTTTGCATGAAAGGTTCAATGGACCCTTCTTTGAACTCTTGAGGAGTTTATCTCATGTAAATTTTGATGTCAATTCATGAGTTTTTTTTTCTTTTCTTTACAATTGAAGAATACAAGTCAATATTAGAGAGGCACTTAAAATTCTTTTGTTTGTTTTGTTGCAAAAATTTTAATGTTTTTTTTTTTTATTGCATGCATATGTATCGAATTTCGTTTACTTCTCTTCATCCGTTTAAGTGTGAAACTTTTAAAACGTATAATAATCGGCCAATCGCACGCCATACTAAGCGAGTTGACACACACCAAGCATATAATTGCCCGTTGCTTGGTTGGTCATGCCTGGTGGCGATATGGGGTGCACGATTTGCATTTGCATGGCGTGCAGCTGGAAACGTGTGGCACAAAAAGCGGTGGCAGCGAATAATCGGAAACCGAGTGCGAGGAATTGAAAAAACATTTATTTTGGGTGCCCTGATGAAAACAGAGCGCTGCTGAAAATGACCAGACCATGCAGCCTTTCATGCAGCTTGACAATGGGCTGCGATTGCGGTTGGTAGAATTTAAACCCACCGAGTCACAATAATTAATATTTAATATAACAGTTTAAAATTATTTTATTTCACTTTCAATAAAAACGTTTTCATGGAAACAAAAATTAGATATGGAAAATTTACTTTATTTTTAAACGAAAAAGCCATTATTAATCGTTCCAATTTGGTCCATGCAGTATAATTGTTATAAATGGTTTTAATTTAATCCATTTGCAAATTTATTACAAAATTGATAACACAATCATAAAATTTCCAAGGGTCTTGGAAGGACCATGCAGACAACCACCATGATGTTTATTAATAATAAATACGAATGTTACATTTTGTCTCTAGATTAAATATATATAATATAATTATAAACTTTACATCTTATATTTTAAGAAAAAAATAATGGAAATTATTAATTACAAAACTTTTTTAAGCAAATAATCATGCAATAACACTTAAAAATTAAATTAAAAAAATTTTAAACTTAATAATAAAATATTGCTAGAAAAAGCAATTCTTAATAAAATTAGATATTATTTTTAAATTAATATAAAATTTTATTAAATTTTTTTTAACATTTAAAATTGTGACCGTGCGGTGGCTCGGATTCCACCTCCCCAACCCAGTTAGAAGGACTAATAGGCCTTACCAAAGTGGATTCTGGATGACATGTCGCCGGGGACACACAATAAAAAATCGAGAGAGACGGGTCGAGGAACAACAACTAACAACTATTGAAGGTTTGTGTGCTGCCATGTCTGCGTGTGTGTGTGTGATGGAAAAAATATCAAATGTGTGTAAGGGAGAAAGAGAGGCTGCTTATCTGAATAATAATATCGCGCGCCGCGACTGACTGTCATGGCCTCAACATGCACCTATGTGTTTATTCATGTGTAATGACACCTGGGCCCTCCTATGCCTGCAGAGCTGCTGCTTTTAAAACTCCCCCTTCTCCCCTCGCAATAATCACTATTTTATTTATAAATGCGCCTCCCTTTTCAATGCATAGCACCTATGTTTTATCCGCGATGGTGCGATGTGCGTTCAAAAAAACCACCGCGATCATTTTATGCATTTTTCATGCCCAAAAGTACGTTACTTAATCCCATCGAGCGCACAGCCGTGGTTTTTGTAATTATGCCCGACAATTGAATAGATCAACGCGGCCATTTATTGAATGGTTTAGTAAATCAAATTAAACCCGCTTCATTTTAGTTTTCTTATTTAAACTTCAACTTTGAAAATTTGAATTTGATCTTTAAGAATGACAATGAAATTTATAAAAATTAAAATTTGTCGCAGTAGATGAAAAATATATATGTAAAATTTATTTTATTATTTCGAAGCATTTTTTCCAAATTAAAGTCAGTGCTAGGCCTTTCTCAGAAACAATTATTTCAGTGAATTGTATTGTATATACTTTTTTTAATTATTAATTTAATTATTATCTAAATATTCAATTTTGATTGAAGGAACGGGTACAGGTAATCAATTAGTTGCTAAATATATAATTATTATATGTTGTGTGACTTGTGATTTATACAGAATAAATTTTGCTTATATGAAAGCATCCACGTTACGATAATTTAAGTGAGGATTAATAACTTTTTATTCTTAGAAAGAAAAAATACTAAAATATAAGATTATTTAAAAAAATTAATTTTATAAAAAAATAAACATAATAAAATAATAATTTAATGTTTAGTGAAAAATTTAAGACCAAAACCTTATAATATTAAAAGTTATATTAATATGCTAAAAATAAAATATTAAAATTTTGTCAGTTTTGATTTATATACTATTAACAATTACATGGTGCATTTTGTTTTTCAAATAAAAAAAATAATTATGTACTTGCGATGCTTTTCCGTTATTACAGCTGCCTGGAGGTTTTTTTAATATTTGTGCCTTTTCTTTTTTTTTACTTATTTTCATTTCCAGGCAAATTGCTGCTGCGCAAATAAAGTGCAATGTGGCGGTGATTCAAACGAGCACGGAGAGTGTATAACATGCAAGGGAGATACTGCCGGGGACTTATTTAATTGGCGCGAGTGCGGAGCTGCTGCTGGGGAAGATGATAATAAAACGTCTTTGTAAATAATTTGCCGGCGAACGTGAGGCGCATCCGAAAAGCCCTCTTTCTCTCTCCTTCTTGAGCGCGATTTGCTTTGGCATGAGATTTAACATCGTCATGCGTATTTGAGGCACAAAAGCAGCGAGAAGAGCGGAGCTGCTGCGACAAACCTCCGCCAGCAACCCGCCCTTAGGCAAATAAGTGATTTTCTTTTTTTCTTCACCTTTCGCCAAGACGTGCCGCGAATTCCAAAAGGAATCAAAGCCGAGAGACGCACCCCCATTGTATAATAATATGCTTAGGGGGCTTTTATACACTCGCCGAAGAGAGGATTGGGATTAATTAGCCGCCTTAATTACGGGGATTATGTCGTCATTCAATTTGCATCGGTCGCTGAGAGAGTGTGAAAGAACACGGCGGCCCCGCGGGGCGTCGCTTTTGTATGCAAATGAACCCGGTCGGGGTTTTAAGTGATAAATTGGCCGGCTGAAATGATCTGATTGTGTGTGAATGCAGACATTTAGCAAAGGCATTAAAAAAGGGTTATACAGCTTCCTTAAATTTCTTTTGGAATTTTTTTGTATATTTAATAAAAACGATTAAATATAGATAAAATTTTATTGTATAAAATTAACTTACAGCTCTTGCATGAAAAAATTTAAAAGGTTGAATTGTCAGAAATAAATCAAAATCGATACCTTGGTTAAATCCGGCGTTGTATCATTGGCATTAACGAAAGCTGTCGAAATAAATACTAATAATAAAACTTTTTCATTCTGCTTTTTTCCACCATTCAGTTGTCCCGAGTAAATATTAAACATTCACGAACTCCACTTTATTTTTAAAATGAAAAAATTTGTTCATTTTTATACAAAATTGCTTTTCCAAACTGACGCTTTTCGATCGTTCTCATTACTCGTTAGTGAATTAGCATTGGACTAAGCACGACGAAACAATATTAAATTTTCGAGCATTGATTATTGTTATGGAAATTTTGCAGCGCACTTACCTTTATGAGGCATGTCGTCGACAGAGACCGGAGGCCACACCCCGGCAGCGGCGGCAACAGCGGCCGCCGCTGCCGAGCTAAGCTGCTGAGCTGGCAGAATGGTGACCAGAGGGCATGCAACAAATATCTCCCTCCCTGCAACAATTAAAACAGAATTGTTTAAAAAAAAATTGAATTTTACTAAATTTTTTAATTTGAATTTGCAGCTTTTTTTGTGGTGTTTCAATTCGGTGGTTCGAGATATTTTTCTGAATGAATTTTTCCATTTCCTGCTTACAGATTTCTATAGAAAATCCTAATGGAGCTTCGCGTGTAAAAAATTATCCCTCCTCCAAGCATTCACATGAAAAATGCTCAGATTTTTCTAGGAATGAATGAACCTGCAGACTCTTGTAAACATATTTTCTCTTCCTCTCGGTTCAAGAAGCAAAAATACAACTAAATCCCCTCAAGTCGAAAATGAGCTTTTCCAGAAAATGCTTAAAAGGTTGAGGTGCATAAGAGAAAAAAATGAAATTCCTTATTCTCTTTTGTTGTGAGAAGAGTCAACACCAGCTTTTTAGTCGCCTCAGTGCGTTTGAAAAGCAATCAGGCAGTAAGTGCGAGTGGGTCAACATTGCACAGGAAGAGCTGCCAATTGAGTAGGGATATCTGCAGAGCCCTGAGGGCGAATTCCTGATGCGCGAGGTGTGATGGACGCGCTATTTATTCTGGCCGGCGGCTGACGCGCGATTGAGTTTCCATCCGACATGACCACATGCGGCCGAAACAATAAGCAAAAGCTGTGGTTACTGACCTAGCTTGCCTCTCTGCGTTTCCTCAATGAACCGGCGCTCCCCGCGCTCCTGCTGAGCAGGTAAAGCCAAAGCAAACGCACAGAAAATCGCTTAGCTCCAAAGCTCGCAGAATTCAATGTAAAGAAGAGGAAATCGAAAAGGGAAAAATTATAAATTAATTGCTTTTAAATTGGGTCGTAAAAAGGAAGGGGAGAAAAATTTCTAATTAAATTATTTGGAAATTGCTATTTAATCTGAATTTGCTGCCTTCATGATGGTTGTAGAAATTGTGCAATTTAAAAAATATCTAACTTCACATTTTTCTTGGTTTTATTAAAGTAGAAATTCCTCTTTGAGAGGCACAATTTAGGCAATTCAAAAGTCTTAAGAGGCACCTGGTTCGGTTGACAAAATCCCACAATCCACAGTGTAGAAATATTTATTAAATTAAAAGAAGTTTTAAAAACAAAAATTATTAATTTAAAATTTATCACAAAAGAAACATTTCTGCAATTTCTTTGAATTTCATAAAAATGTCACTTTCATGCAAGATTATATAAAAATTGAAGGTTTATGCTCTTTTACTCTTGCATAAAATCCTCTTAAGAATTAATTACCCCGTTACATCCACCAAAAGCCTTTCTGACTCTCAGTGGCCGCTGTGAAGAGCAGTGTTGGTTGCTGGTTTTCCACTTTTCTCTCTCCTCCGTTTTATTTTATTTAATAACGAGGCTGCTTTTTCTCAACACGCGGCGCAAACTCATCTTATTTTACGCTGCTCTTGCCGCCGTTTGACTTAATTGTTTACCAGCCGAGGTAAATACTAATTACCGCGTGCCGAGCACCAAGAGGGTTGCATCAAGAGAGAGAAACAGACATTCAACCCTTCCTTCGAGTGGTGTGAATGAGGAGGAGAGAGATGTGCGCCGAGCTAATTTGAATGCTTGTGCGAAATGACACTTTACAAAAGGAAGCACGTACACGTGCACTTGTGCAAATTAATTAAAAGCCTACCCACCCTTACTTTCCGCACCACCAAGGAGAAGTAGTGAGGTGTTTTGTGTGCTAAGGCACGACAACTTGAGAGGAGTGCGACTATATTATAAAATATACGCGCCAAGTTCATTCAGGGCAATTGAATTCCAGCAAATTGAATAATTGATTTGGATAAATTTGATTAAAAAGAAAAAATATGTACGGTGGAAATCTCCTCAAAATCACCAAAACATTTGCTTATTAAAATTGATTTAAATATTTTATGTAACAAATTTCTGTTCCCCTCTCTAAATTAATTGAAGAAAAAAATATTAAAGCTAAAATTTGATAAAAGAAGGTCTTGTTTATAGTATTTTGACTAATTCAAATTACCATAAAACAGAAAAAACAAACCGCCTTTTGAGATTGTGAAAAAAAGTTTCTGTTAATTATCACTTCCGTAATTATTTCAATTTTAATTCAGGGGTGGTTCAACTTGTTCAAGTTTTGAAAATCACTGGCAAGGTCAAATAAATACTTTTAAAATTGAGTGAGTTTTTCTCACACACATTATATATTTGTGTCCTTTGCACACAAATTTTCTTAATTTAAACGTTTTGTAGCTCCAATTTTTTGAAATAATTTTTGCAAAATAACTTGATGTAGTTGAAAAGCCAGCAGTCCAGCAGTGTCACATTATTTTCTTGGACATTCATGGATTTAATATGGGCGGCCGATAATACGATTATTCTCCAATAAATTAAAAAAAAATTAAATCAGTCTTTTTTAATGGCAAAAAAATAAATTCCTTGTTAAAATGTACAGAATGATTTCGAATTTAGAAAATTAAAATAATTATTTTTTTAACGATTTTAGGCTTTTTCTGTACTTACTGCGCGTTCACCGTGCACTGTCTGCTTTCAACTGGCCGAAGGTTCGATGCGAGGGTGGCGGGACGTGTGTCTCGGGGCACTGAACGGACGCGGGGGTCGCTTTGGGGTCGCAGGGCAAGCACTCGCACACGTGCTCGACACGCCGGACGCGCTCTGCACAAGGGTTGTTGCCGCCGAGGGATGGAATCGGGTTCTGCAGAGGCGAGTTGGCGGCTGGCGCGCCGCGAGCCGGCCTAGGGCGGCGAGAGCGGCCGGGGCGGCGCCTCGGCGTGCCCGACCAATTGTGGGCCGGCCCGGCCCACGGCTGCCAATCGACGCGGCCGCACGCTAAAGTGCCATTGATTCGAGCCGAGGGTGCACTCGACTGGAAGGGGCTGTAGAGGGCGCGTCCGCGCACCGCATTTTCGTCGCGGGCCCGTCTGAGGGAGGCACCGAGTGGCGTCTTGAGACGTTCGGGGCCCCTCGGAGGCGCCCACGAGCACCCGCCGAGTGCCTTCTTGAACACTCGAGGCGACGGTGTTACCGGGAAAGGGTGGTTTTGGGGTGTTTCCCTCGGGGAATTCCGAAGAAATCGGCAACAGTAGCTTTAGGGTCTTTAGGTTTCCACACATTAAAGTTTTGTGAATGCCGGCGCCGGTTTGACCAACAACAACAATTTCTTTAATTAAATAAATTATTTTCAACAATTGAACATTAACAAAATACCGCAATATAATGTAAAAACATAAACAAATAAACAACAAAAATATAAAAATAAATTTTTTTTGTTTTAAAAAAAAATATATAACGTTTTATAAATAATATTAAATTTAAGTAATTATTTTATTTTTATAATTTTATTTTTATGTACTATAATAAATAAATGTATTAACTTACTTCCTATATTTTTCTATTAAATCTCAATAATGCGAGTTTATTTTAAATTGTGTCAAAGCTCATTTAATTTCACTTAAAATTTTAATTTTCTTTACATCACATTTCCAATAAATTATTCAAATTGTTATCAAATTCCAATTTGAAAGAAATGTTTGAACCAGTTTTACTTCTTTTAAATTAAAATATTGCAAAAATGTAAATTAAAATTTAGATTTAGGTTAAACTAAACATTCATTTCTATGATGGAAAAAAACGATAATCTTCGAATTAATCCCAGTAAAAAATTAAGTTGTCTCCTAGTAAAAATATTCTATTACCTCCGATGATATTGATTAAAACTCTACGTCATCAATAATAATGTTAATGTATTAAAAAACAAATTGTATCAAATTGACTTTAAAGGTAGAAGTATAAACCTTTTTTTATATAAGGGCATTACATGAATTCACTTGAAATTTAAGCTTTGAACTTTTAGCTATAAAATCTTAGCCTTTTTATACTGCTAAAAAGTAAGAGCTCCAAATTTCCACATCATGGTCTTTTTAAAAATTCCTTCAAGTAATCTTCAAAGATGTTTAAATTGAAAAAAAAAATCTTAATTTAAAACATTCCTATTTGCATGAGTCTTTTCCAAAATCGTATTTGAGATATTTAAATTTAACCGAAAAATCCTCTTTATCAGACCCAACCCAAGAAAGAGCACAATGAATAATAATAATATTTTTATAACAATTTATGCAAAATTTTCAATTTCAAATGATGAAAATTTATCAGTAATTAAAAATATAATTTCAGAAAAAATATTCCTCAGCAGCTTAGCATTCCTCTCTTTTTGCAAAAGAGTTTAGAGGGATGCGCGTGTTGAAAGGGGCAGTTGGCGCAAAGGACTCTTTTGTGAGCACACACACCATTTATTAAAGCGTTAAATGTAATCCGGTGGACAGCTAATTGAGAGAGGACTCTTCTCTCTCTCTCTCTGCTTCTCGTCCCCGCACTGAGTTGACGCGCGTACGTTCGACAAACGTATTTAGGAGGTTCAAACGGCGCGGCGAGACGTGCACTCGGCGTGGCAGATGAAATATATTCTTTAAAGTAACTGTTACACGTTTTGAAAAAGCCACATGTGTAAAGCAAAAGGGTGCTAAAGGGGGGTGAATCATCATAATCAGCCTCTGCTCGAGAGAGCACGACGATATATATTTTATTTCCACGTCCCTTTGCTGCAGCAGCAGCAAAAGCATCAGCGACGGCCTCGCATCATTATAAAGTACCCCCTAGAAAAGCGGCAAGCTTTTGCGACTCACCCTCGTTCTCTATCATCACCAATCCTTGCACACCCACCCTGCCAGCGAGGAACCATTGGAGCGAATTTAATTCAATGCCGTGACGTCAGATTTTATCATTTATGCCGCGCTCGCCAAGCGCAGCTTTACTTTGGAAACATTAAGCTTTGTACATTATCACAGGAACACTCTCTCAAGAGCTGCATAGTAAAATCCAGTAAAATCTACAATTAAATAATAAGAGTTTCACTAAAAAATTATTGAAACTTAATTTTCAAAAATTTTATGCTACAAAATTTATCATAATCTTTCATTTGTAATCTATGACCTGAATTTTGAATACCTGATAAAATGTAAGGAATATTCAATAATGCTTTTTCAAAATAATTCAAGCTGTAAAACTTTCTCACAGATAGACTTTCTTTCACAATATAATTTTTTCAAATCGTGATAGGCTTCTAACAAGGCATGGTCAATATTAATAAGTTTTGATAAAAAAAAATTTAAATAAAAAAATTAACAATAAGTTTATTATTAAAATTATTTATGTTTATAATAAAAAAAAATTATAGGATATGGATTAAATTAAAATTTGATATAAACTAAAATTTTGCATAATGATTAAAATTATGAAAATATTAAAATATTATGTCACGGTGATATTGATATTAAATATTAACAATAAAAATGTATGAAAATGAAGAGATCAGGCTTTTCCTCGTTGCAGAAAATTGTTTTATTCAAAAACAAATGGCTCTACCAGTATCGGTCACGGTCTGCGACCCTATTTCATGAGCAAACGCGCTGCTCTCTGACTAATACAAGAATCAGACCGTGACTGAAACTATTAGAGCCATTTGTTTTTGAATAAAAAACAATTTTCTTCAACAAGGAAAAAGCCTGACCTCTTCATTTCCATGATCTTCTCCTCGAGTGTCAACTTCTTCAAATAAAAGTGTAGTGTAACTTTTGCTTTTAAGATTTACTCAAAGTTAACACCAATTATTTTAATTTTAAAAGGCATTTTTATTATTTTTCTTGGTCAAAAGCGCTCCAATAATTATAAAAAAAAAACTGAAAAAAGCAAATAATTCTATATTAAATTTTTTTTTCAATCATTTAGTGTTAGAAAAAAGGCACCACTGCAAACAGAGATTTCGCTTATTCTATTCTAAATGAAATACATGAATGTATTAATTATAAGAATTAGGTTATTTATTTAGCCTGCGAAGTGTAAAATAAATATCATTATCAAAAAAGCTACAACCTTCAATTTAGTAAAAAATCAAATATTGTTTTAAAAAAGAAATTTTTTTAATTAAAGTGTTATTGCAAATTACTTATTTACAAGAAATAAATAACTAACGAAAATAATTGCATCTAAAGTTAATCCCTGTCTTTCAACGGAGAGATTTCGTGCGAGCATTAAGGATCATTTCACGCCGATTATACGCTCAGCACACAGATTTGTGCGACACGTCAAGACCTTTCCGCTCAAGAGAGCTGCTCTCGCTCGCTCTACGTTTTCTCTCGCTCGCTCTTTTCGCACCCCTCGCGTGTGTCGTGCCGAAAAAGGAAGAGCGCCGCAAAAACGCGTACGCATATGTCGTAATTTATGTGGGGCGAATTAAACCGGCACTTCCTGCGGCAGTTAGCGCCGCGGTTTTGATATCAGCCAGCGGCACTCGCACATACAATCTAGTTGGGAGGAGTCTCTCCGCACTGTAAACTCTCATGTGCAAATCCCGCCCCGTTGCAAAAGCAAGCAACTCGCCGCCACGCCCTGGCGCACACTGACTTATAATCTCTCGCTGTTGCAATTTTAATTCAATCAGAGAAACACAGTTTGCAAAAAAAAAATGATAAAAAATGGTATTATAAGTCGAAACCAAGATTCGTAACAAAATTAAGATGGTGAGAAAAGTGCAAAAATTTCAAAGTCTCTGGAGTTGATTTTTAACACTCACAAAGTTATTACATTCAGTTCTGTTGACTAACAGAGCTAATTGCAAGAAATTATTTATTAATGCTGAAGAAACAAATAATTTCAAATTCGTACAAAGCTTCGTTTACTTCCGAAATTTTGTATTTTGAATTTAAATAAAAACCTTTTTCCTCCAGTTTACTGGCGTCATTCACATGAAACATCAATCCGCATGGAGACAATTAGAATATCTTTGATTTATTGTTTAGATTGCTAGGTTTCTCATAAAAAAATGTATAGAACCCAAATTATAAGATCAAGTGGATCTATCACAAAGCTTAGTTTTAACCAATGAAATGCAGTTTTATTTTTCAAATAAGTTACACTCTTTATAGCCAATGAATGTTTTGAAGTTCATATTTGTCTCACTTTGGAAGAGGAAAAGATTTCAGACTTCAAAAGCTTAAAAAGTACCACCTTGGCTGCCACTTTGGCTGCGTGCAGCCAATTTCAAGTTTAGGCAAACTCTTGACACGCGAGTTGTGCAGGTTGCAGCGTTTCCCCTAAAATCTTTTGCATCTTCCAGATCAAACAGTATGTGTAAGATATTGAGAGAAAAATGAAATTTTTTGCATATACAACAATTTTTCTTCAAGTGCGTGTTCAAAATCTATTTGTTTTTGGCGCTAATAATGTTAACAAAATTTACAAGGTATAGTGCTCCTCTGGTCTTTTGCGAGGTGAATTATATTATATTTTTTCCCTCAAACAAAATGCGCATTATAGTTTTTCAGTGAAATCTAAAATGTCTGGTTAGGAAATGATTATTAAGATAATCCAATGAATTAGACACAATTTTATTTAGGAAACTATTCTAAGCAATTTTAAACTTTTATATATTAGGGGAATTAGTTGAAACGGATATGAAAGTAATAAAACAAAACGATTTTCTACTTAAAATAGGATTGTTTTCATTAGCTTCAAGCGTTAATTGCTGAGGTATTATGAAGAACGCTGAGGAGTCCACTTTGGAGATGAAAAATGCGCCAAAAGGGTTGCCGTGCTGCAAACCACGTTTTTTCAACAAAGTGGGCACATAAATTCATTAGAATGGGGACGTTGGTTGGCAGCGAGAATTATGGGGCTGTTCTACTGCTGCTGCTGTGGGTGCAAAGTACGTGTATAAAAATGACGCGAGTCGCGATAAGCAAAAAGCGGCATCGGAGAGAGAGAAGAGAACGGGGCGCGCGAACACCGCACAAACAAGTTGGTCGGCGCGCGAGATTTATGTTGAAAAGAGAGGGCTGCTCGGCCCAATGCACACGCCACGTAAATCTCGAGCGCACTCGGCCCGAGTTAAAGGCAAATTTATTGCAGGTGACACACGATTGTCATAGCACGCGACACGAGAGACAAGGGTTTTTTTCTTTCCGCAAAATTTTCTCAACCTTCAGTCATTAGTAAACAATATTAAAATCAAGAATTTGAGATTCATCTTCGGTCAAAGTTTATAATTGATATGAAGTTGCATTCTTTTAAACAAACGAATAACTATTATATTTTAAGTGAATTGGCTACCATTTTATTTAAAGTTACATTAGTTATTACAATTGTAAATGGTGAATTACGTCGCGTTATTTGTAATTTCACACAAATTCAATTCAATTCAACCATAAGCCAATAAAAGATTTGCAATAATAATAATATTTAAATACTGAGAATTTGCTGTTTTGTAAAATATGAAAATATATTTGTAACTAAATTGTGTAATCTGAAATTATGACTTTTTAAATAAAGTGAAGAATCCGTTTGATTTAAAGAGAAAAAAATTTGCGAAATATCTAAATAATTTTATTTTTATTAATTAAATAAAAACATAAATAAAATATAATAAAAAAATGAAATAGTTAATTAGCATTTAATTTAAAATATAAATGCAGTTTTTTAATATTAAATGCACAAACTCATCAAGTGTCAATGGGGTCGTGTAAAAACTCCACTTTCCACGGTAATGCTGCACCCTAGGCGTACTTATTACATTATTATATTGTTATCCACCCTGCGAGTCGTATGAGAGATGATGATATGGTGGCGAATGCGAATAAATAAGCTGTAGCTGTGCTGGTGCTTTGATAAAATATGCCGTAATAACGCGCCGCCCGCGCTTATCGCACTCGCAGACACGTGGCCGGGCCATGTAATAAACGCGCGCTTATCCGCAATCAAACTCAGTCAGCATGCAGCGGCCCTTTGTTCGCTATTAGGGCGCCGCTCAACCTCCTCTCACCCTCTCGTGCATGGGAGCGAGCGTGTATAACCGGCTGCTTTAATTACTCTCAAATATTTCGGACCGCGCCGCGTGCACCGCCCTGCATGCTCCGTCCGAATCGCTGCTTTTCCTTTGAAAACTGCACCCCGCGAGACTGCGTGCGCCGCACATTTTTCATATAAAAATTTCCCTTTGTGTGCGTCCGCCGAATTTGAAATACGCAAAGCGATATTGCATGCGTCTGTTATTAAATTTCTGCAACGACCACAACAGTTTTTTTACTTTTATTATATAGGAAATTGTAAAAAAAAAAAATATATAGGAAGTCTGCACAAACGCAATTCGAATTTGAAGAATGAGATGTTAAATTACCACCCCATTTATACTTAGTTTAATTTTTCGAAATAATGATCAAATGGAAAGTGGAACGATCGATCAAATCATTTAAAAAAAAGAGAGAGATTATATTTCAACCCCTCCCCAAAAATAAAAGAAAGTCCAACATGCCAAACGTGAAGAAAAAAAATGTATACAAAATAATGTCTATTTGTAAATAAATTTAAGTTTTTATGTTGATCCAGGACAGATTTAATGCAACATTTACGTCAAACATTATCTAAAAAACATGCATCCTACTGGAAAAATGATAAAATAATATTCAAATTGACCTGTTAATGGCATGTATGGCTGACTTGGCGTTTTAGGCCGAGTTAAACAAGTAAATCAGACTTAATTATGTACAAGTCTCGAAGGTCAATTTGAAAAGGTCGAAAAGGGAACTTACCCTTTTCCGGCGGCGAGTCTGACTGGCTTTCGAGCTGCCCTGACTGGAGGAATTCTTCTCACTCTGCATTTCGGCCGATTTTTCGCCAATTTCGGGCCGAATTTGGGCTCAATCTTGAGCCCAGCAAAACACGATGCACTTTGTCAACAAAGAAATCATAATATAACTAAATAGGGGCGTGTCCGATTGTTTTTGTGGGAGAAAAGCGGGAACGAATTTAGCAACCCGACAAAGTTGTCCCGACGGAATTAGTCAAAATATCGCTGTGATTGAAAATTTTTAGAACTTTGTCGATTGAATAATTAAAGCGTGATGAGGAAAATCGCTTTGTAATTTAATTTTCGATCCAAGCAGCCGTTGTCGTGCCATAAGCAATTAAAAATACGGTTTTTTTTACTTGTTGCGAGGGAATAAATGAATTGAATTGAGTCTCTGGCTTTTCGTTTCTAAATTTAATTCCAATTCTAGAAATATAAACTTTTCAAGCGCCAAAATTCTAAATCTTTCCATCAGAGCGATATTTTGATTAATTCCGTCGAGGCAACTTTGTCGGGTTGCTAAACTCGTTCCCACTTTTTTCACACAAAAACAATCGGACACGCCCACTTATGATTAGTACATAATAACTTTTCTTGTTGACAAAGCGCATCGTGCGTTGCCGGGATCAGGATTGAGCCTGAATTCGGCCCGAAATTGGCCAAAATCGGCCGAAATGCAGAGCACGAAGAAGTACTCAAGTCAGGGCAGCAGTGAGCAGGGCATGGGCCTCGGAAGCCGCAGTCGGACTCGCCGGCGGAAAAGGTAAGTTCCGTTCTTGATCTCGCTTTGCGAATTGACCTTCGAGGCTGAATTTACTTGTTTAACTCGGCAAAAAAAAGGCCGTAAACGGATCCATTTTCATTTTTTTTTTTGTGAGTTTAGAAATTGTATAAAACGCTTTTCAATATTATGATTTTGCGCAGAAAAAAACACATTTTGTACCGTTTTTTAGAAATCTTATGCTTGAATCAAGAACTCTATTTAGGACTAGACCAGGACTAGACAAAAGTGATCAGCAAGCTCGAATTTGAAATGAAAAAATTTTAAATAACTTTTAATTACAATGTTCAGATTTCAATTTACATACGAGATTGGAACATATCTAGTATATTCCAGATTTTTATGTATTCCTGAAATTTAATGAAACTGACTAAAAACTGCGTAAGAATCAATAAAAATAAAGATTACTCCAACTTTCTAAAAAAAGTAAAATTGAATTACTGCTTTTTGTGTGTGAATAAAATTTTAATGCAGTCTTCCAATATAATAAAATATCTGCTATTCATTCCAAAAATTTTACACCACTTCATATACAAAGAGTGGGAATTTATATCCCAGCATGTAGAGCCGTCCATATTACAACGATTATTTATCATTCGGCCAATTGCCCTTGCAAGTTTGGCGCGGACAAAAGAGACTCCGATCCTGACAGAATCGTAAAAACTCGAAAATATTTCTCTCCGCGCATCTGGGGCTATTTTGATATCTGTGAAGGGCAGCATTTTATCCTCTCTCATTCTGACATTGGAGAGGGAAATATATTATAAGAATGAGAAAAAACACGTGTATATAAGGAATATACGTGCAGTTGACCCTTGAATTTGGCAAATCCTCGCCGCTCGTGTAATATATTAACTAGAAAGAGAAACCCCTGTCGAGATCCATTCAAGAAAACTATTAAACTACCGAGGAAGAATTTTTCTGGACAGAAAATCGCTCGCTTTTGATATTTACAAAGAATGAATTCCTATATCTCTCTGGAGAGGAATCTCGTGAATGAGTGTTTGGGGAAAATAAATCCACAAAGAGGTGAAAAATAAGACTTTTCAATAAATGCGGGGTGTAGTTTTAACAAAGCGCAGGCGGCGCTCTTTGTGTATGGGCTGCGCTACCCTCGCGCGACACAAGTTAAAAAATACCTTTTGTGTCAATAATGGCTCTCGAACTGCGACAAACGAGGAACACATTTTTGCGGGACGCGATACATTCTATTAACACTTGGCGGCATCAAAGCTGCGCATCAGTTGGGGATATAAATAAATGTTCACACCTGGGCCCCCGAGAAGAGCGCGGCGCATTTTTCCTCCCGATGATGATGCTCGTCGGCAGTTTCAATGAGTGCCACCCTTTGTGCGCGTTAGTTCGTTTGGTCATTGTGATACATTGCAACTTTAAGAATATAAGGACTCGGAGGAGTACTTTTGTGTATTGTGATCTCTCCGATATGATCAGCGAAAATTTGAAAGATGAGAGGGAACAAATTAGCCCTGTTTATCTAATAAGTGCTTCAGATGAAGAATATCAAGAATAATTAAATTAATTTATAATTTATAATCGTATTGCGCAAAAAAAAAACTAATATAATTTTTCTTTAAAAACCAAATTTAAATTTCTTATTTCTTTACTTTATTAAATTAACATAATTTTGTATTAAATTAATTTAATTTACTCATCAAACAGTTAAAGAATGGGAAAAAGAGGAAAATATTTAATTTTTTACAAAAAATTATTCTTTCAAAAAATAATTTAAAAGACCGTGAACGAAAAATGTTTACTATGTAAATTTATTTTACAATTCATTAGCTTCTTGGCCATTCGTGGAGCCGTTTGTTTTCAATTAATTGCATAATTAAATTAATTACTTTTAAATGAAAATTTGCGGGGGGGGGGGGGAACAAAAACTTCCTAACGAAATGGACATTTGTTGTATATATTTTTATGCATTATTAATGTAAATTGCTTTGTTTTAATAGCTTTGAACTATTTCAAATATTGAATAATTTATGGAAAATTCACTTTTTTGATGATTTTCTACCTCAAACCAAAAATTTGGTCCCATTTTGATTTCCACTTATACAATATGATGAACCCATAAATTTTGAGCAATAACACAAAAGCTGACATAAAATCCGGCTGAAGCACATCTGCCTCGACGCGATGCTCGCATCGATAATTAGCCGAATCATCATGACAATGGCCGCGCCCTGCACAAATGGCCATGCGGAAAGAAGAAGTGTGAACGATTTGCCGCCGTTGCGCGTTAAACAAATCTGGCCGAAATTGAGACATAAAGGAAAAAGCCCCTATTCTCGTGCAGATCGCGACGAATCGGTCACAATTGCGTCGGGGTTTGACTCGAGTAGCGTGACCAATCGACACTGAAAAGATGTATAATGCGGGGTTGTCATTCCATTATATTTACACATATAGAGAGGCAGAGACGTCAACGCTGATCGCATTAATAATCTAATGCGAGTGCTGATTATACAATAAATATTGTAATCGCACTCACTCGCCCCCTGCGCTCATATTCACGAGAGTGCATAATACAAATTGAGCAGAGTAGTGAGAACGAGGGTATAATTTATGTCCTGTGTGTGTATATAAGTTTTTGTGGAAGGGCCTTTTTCTTTTCTCTATCGCGTTGTCATAAAGTAACTTCGAGCGTGCTCTCTTCATTTGCATTTCATGGCCATTAATGAGTAGCAGCCTTCGCGCTTGAGTGTATTTAAGACTGTGCACATTTTTTAGAGGGGATGAATGTTTCCACTGATTAGCATACATTATTTTTATTTAAAAAAATTAATGGGCAATACTTTTATTGGAAGGATTGACAAGGGGAAATTTAATGGCTATAGATTGCAAACTATCAATTGCATTGATTAATGAAAATGATATAAAAAGTTGATAGATTGAATCAAAGTATGAACGTTTTTGTGATCATAATTATTTCACATATTTTATGCATGTGTTCAATAGTGTTGCACTTTGTAGAATAGCCGATTGTTTGCACAATTATTTTGGCCAAATAGTTGGTTGATAGTCGACTTTTCTGAAAATATAAACTCAACATATTTTCACTTTGGGGTTTAGGAGACAAAAATGTAGTTCATAATTTTAGTTTCAGCCAAAAATTATATCACTTTTTATTTTTAAAATATATAATTATTTACCACTGTTTTTCAAAAACAGGAAAACATTTCATGATAAGTAAAAATTTCATCGATAAGCTGTTTTTTATTATTTCAAAGGTAATCTCTCAAAGAAAATCAAAGCATTATGATAATCTAGTACCTGTCACTGAAGCAATAGAAATTACCACAAATCAAATTTTTTCATGTATGACTTGAGTAGAATAAACAATAATAATAATTTAATTTTTATTTTGACCATTCTTAAAAATACAGACAGACATTTTTACCAATGAATTTAACTATTTTTTTGCATATCTGCAGATAAAATGAACGACATTCAGTACCATGAATGGAATGGACAAAAAAATAAATAAATCAAATAAGTAAATAAATAAATGTTGTCTAAAAAATTTAAAATGTATGGAAAAATTAATAAATAATTTAAAAATTAACACATTTTTGGCTTGGTAAATTTGAAAACAAATTTTAGGTTTTTTTTTGTATTTTCTACAAATGTTTTGGATGTGAGTTTTAGTAAAATCCAAGCAGCACATGCGATCTCATGAAAGGTGCAATGTATGTTATGTATATTATGTAATCTGCAGGCAAAAACAAGTGGCGAAAAGAGCAGGGGGCGTAATTACATTATCCACATGTCACTGCTCGCGAGGAAACAAAACTCGCTCTCGAATGTGTACATATCACACACAGCCTGCGAAATTGCTGCATGTATACGTTTTGCTGCCTTCATTTTACAGCGCAAGGGTGAAATTTTGATGAGGGCGCAGAGCAGGGCAGGAAATCTTATATATTAACTTAAATATCATCATATCGCGCGCGTGGATGGAAAAACAGAGAGAGTCGGTTCCCTCTCTGCTCGCTCGCGTCGCGTTTTAATGAATTCATTTCGGAGCGCATTAAAATTGAGAGCAGAGAGCATTGTGAGCGCAAATGTTATAAGCGCTCGTCAGCGGAGAAAAGAGCAGAAATGTTGTGTGTGTAACTTCGTTATTATATCAGCGTGTTACGCCGGAAAATTCACGTGTTACACAGTCCAGTAGTTTTAAATTACGAACGTGCCGAGGCGCGCGGAGTGAAGCAAAAAGAAAGGAACACCTTCCTCTCTTCCCATATGTGCTCTCTCGCTATATTTGATGAGAGCAAAGAGCGAATATTATATATGAAAAGGTTCAGAAGTAAGTTTCAAAACTCGGTGAAAAGTGCATGCATGGGAGGACTTTGCCTTCCAAGCAAAGTTCTAAATCAGTTAAAAACTAAAAATATATTTTGTAAGAATATAGGTTGTTAGAAATTACAAATTATAATTATTGATAAAATTTAAAACAATTGGTTATATAATTTACTTTTTTTATGATATATGCACCTTGCTTTTTTATTCTATCTGAGGAAAATTTTAAGCGATTGTACTGTGCAAATTATTCTTTTATTTTATTATTAAATCATGATTTAAATTTTACAAATAATTAGATGAATTGACAAAATTAAATAAATGATATTTAGCAAGTAGATCGACGTTTTTATTGATTAATTTTATTACTTAAAATCCTGTGGAATCCTCTAATCCATATAAATTTCAAATTTTGGACGAAAAATATTTTAACTGGCTGAAAATTTTTTAAATGCTGAACTTAATACCTGTAAATCAACTCAATTATTTTCAATCAATGAACTTCTTTTAACTTATTTAAAAAAAAAAACATTTGTTTCCGTGATCGATCTGTTAGCAATAAATAAAATAACAGGGACTGTTTCGGAAATCGCCAAATCTCGGTACAAACGAAACACAATTGCTCGATCGGTTCATAACCATTTCACGCTCGATAAATAAAAATAACACTTTGGCTCCGGACTGCTGTGTGTATGTTTGTGTAATGCAGTTAGTGCAGAAAACAAGCCTTTTCCGGAGTGCATTTCCTTTGGAGCGAGTTACGTCCACTCGATTGACCGCGTCGAGGTCCGAGGGCTGCAAACCCGCGCGACTCGTGCGTCGCGGGCGTTGCCTAACAGGCCAGGCGCAAATGACGTGCGAAACGACCGTAAATTGTACAGTACGTGTTTGCAGACAATGGCAGAGAGTGAGCCTTTTATTGCCGGGCAAACAATAATAATATTATCGCCGGCGACTAACTCAATTAAGCACGCGTCCAGATTCGATTAAGCACGCAAGATGTTTGTCTAACCAAGTGGAGGAGAGCCCATGAAAAAGCGGCGGCGTCTTATATATTCTTCACGGCCAGATGCTTTCTCCTCGATTGATGATTATTAGCCCGGTACCCCAGAAAGAATTTTTTATATTATTTACGCGTGCCGACCAAAAGGAGAGAGACGGAATAAATGAATGCAGGGGGTTGTTGCCCCTACAGGTGGAAGTAATTTATTTGGGCACCACATTAAGTGGAAACTTAAGGGTGAATATTGTATTAGAGGCGAGCTTTAAAAGACGAATTTTGGCCAAGTGTTAAAGGGCTGATCAAAGGGTCGCATTTAATAGCCAAATAGGGGAGAGAATTTTTGACTAAGCATGAAAGTTTGTGAAGAATTAGGAGTCATAAAGTACTTGAACAAACTATCTTGCAACGTGATTTCAAAAGTATTAAATTTAACAGTTTGGATTGAGGAATAAAAGATGTTTGTTCATCTTAAATAATGATTTGCAAAGTAACGTAAAAAAAAATATCATCTAGAAATTTCCAAAAAAATTTACTGCTTGAAAAAATGAAGAAAAAATACAAGATCAAATTTAATCTGATTCCTAATTTGTTTTTATTTCAAAAAATTGTCAAATATATAATTTAATCTATAAAAATTCTTATTACTAATTAATAAAAAAATCTCTTTTTTCCTGTTTTCTGTAAGCATTTCACAAAATCAATTACTTTCCTTATTAACTTTTGATCCTTATATATTTAATAACCCAGCCATGTCCACTGCTGTTCATACCCATGAAAATAAACCAAATTAAATAGAAAAATACTCTTACCTGCCAGGTGGGCTGTGGTTTTCCGCGTTTTGCTGGTTTCCGCGAATCTATCGTCAGATCGTCTCGGGTGAACCGATGATGGAGCCTGTTGATAGTAGGGCTGCTGGATGCGGTTTAGGGCGAGAAGCGGCGGCACCAACCCTCGGGGCAGGGCTGCTGCTCCTCTGGTGATCGCCCTCTCAGCCCACACTCGCCGCCCCTGCGCCGCAAACAGCTTCCTCGCGATATTTTGCGCTTTTCCAACTTGACTATATCTTCTTAATTAAATAAAGGAAATTAAAGCTTTTTTATGAAAATGGTCTTGCTGGCAATTACATGTACAATTTATATTTTAAATGACTTTTTTGAAACTATCACTTTTGTTATTCCAATTAATTTCAAAGATTTCAAACTCAAAGACGGTGAAAACGTTATCGTAAAAAGAACAAACAAAAAAAATCTCATTTCTATTTGGCCGTATCTACATTAATGTATATTTTCATTTCGCCAGCGGCAGAATCATTGCCGCGCCATAAATTTTGCGCCACATTGAACGAAATATTTGATGTATTGAGGCCCCACACAATGTGCACGCGGCTCGAAAATATAATAATATTCTTTGCCAAAACCGATCGCAGCGTTCGGCGGCAGTTTCCATGACAACAAACCAGGCAATCACGCAGAATGAGCCGCCGAGGCATCTCTTCTCTCTCTCTCTAGCACCAGTTATGCATGATTCATCGTCCTTCCCTCGTACTTTACTGTTGGCATTGCTTTGTGTATAATGTGCGTAGTACGTGCAAAAATTAATAAATGCACGTTGGCACTTAAATAGTGCAAATGCGCGTGGAAATTAATTCAAGACACCGATATTTTCTCAATCAAACATTTGCAACAATTTAACCGTCAGTACAGTAAAAAATAAAAAAAAAACAGATTTTACTTCGAATTGATTAATCACTTATCAGAAGCGAAGAAATAATAAAATAATAATGACCAATTTCTCCACTTTTAAAGTAGTTTCATAAATATTCCAAACATTTATAATAATTTAATTAAATTAATCTGTATAGGCATTCAACACATATTGAGAATCAATCACTTTTCAAATTAATTGAGCTTCATCTTTACTGATTATTGCTTGCGTGGTTTTGAAAATATATTTTATTTACTTACTTAAAATATCAATCTTATCAAATGTAAATATTTTTATAAATATACTTAAATGGTAACAATTTAATGCGAAAATTAAATCAAGATAAGATAATTTAAAATGTAAAATTTAAATAATTTAATTTGATTCAAAAATAATTATTTCAACGTAAATTTTTTTGTAAAATTATAAGAACAGTACATAATTTTACTATATAATTTGCCAATTTTATTTACAAAAATTTTTATTTGCCCAATGTTAAATTAAGTCCCAATTTTATAAATTGGGACTTAATTTAGCCAATCTAATTTGAATATTTTGATCTTTTTTTGTGTGTGGAAGTCCTAATAGTTTTATTTTTGAGTAAAGATTTAACAACTTGCAACAATAATTTGTTGGAGAGATATTGAAAGGCAGAGTAGAGCACGAGCGAAATAAAATAACGACTGCCGGGACAAAGCTCGCTCACAATACAGCAATTGGAGGACTGGCAGAAAATCGTAGGAAGCAGCTCAAGAATTATATATTTCATTTTGTTCCTTTTCTTTCCTTATGCCGGCGTCGCCGTGCAGCCTCGTCGTCTTCTTTTCACTCGAATGATTTGTCAAACAAGCGGAAAATGAATTTCCCGAGTTAATTTAGGAGAGAAATGGCATCAGTGTATGGGTAGAGGGCTCCGCTGCCAGCGACATTATAATGTGCCTGCTGCTTTCCTCCTCCGCCCCCAGCCGCCTCCGCTGTCTGTCTTTCTCTCTCTCTATATACACAGTGTATAATATAATGTACGCGCGCAGGATCAATCAGCGAAGAAAGGAATTAACGCACTCTTGCAAAACGTTGATAAGATTAACAACCACTTCGTCTTCGCCCCGAGAAGACTGCCTGCTTCTTCTTCGTCAGGCCTCCGACCCCGTCACCGTATATTTATACAAGAACCTTTTCCTTCGCAGCACTCACGAGCTGGCTTGCAAAAAAATAAATTGCCCCCGCCTGCACTCGACTTCACCCAGAAATAATAAATTTTCCCACTTTCTGCCGTGCGTGCTGCCAGAGACAAGATAACAGTTTAGGACTCGAAATAAAAGGTTAATATCAAAAGTTATTTGATCATAATGCGATTTTGGAAACTATAAATTTAGGCTAGTATGAAAGTAAAAATATTAAAGGCACTCCAGCGATGGATTTTATTCTTGAACCGAAACAACGCAAAGTTTCATGACAGACGACAAAATTTAAAAATTTATATTCTTAGGGGCATGAAACAAACAGGTTGTGCCAAACCTTTCCCTCTCTGTCTCCAAACTTTTTCTGAGTAATTCAGGGCGAGCACAGAATTTAAGGCACACAAATCTTAAAATGTATTTAAATAATAAAATATGAGTCATTCTAGATTTTTCTAAAGCATGTTGGTTAGAAAAGTCCATTTGGAATAATCTGATGTATGAAAATATGTGCAAAGCTAAATTTATTTAAATCTTTATAATTTTTATTCAAATAAGCATGTATGAAATACACAGTAATATTACAAATTTCATTTATAAAAAAACCTTAAACCTTTTTTTTTTTGAAACCACAGCCCTCAAATTGCATCTAATTTATTAACAAAGAAGCAACGTAAAATATATGGCAATGCAGTTCAGTTCTTTTCATTGTGATCATGTTGATTGTTTTGTGGTTCATCAAGAATTTGCAGCTCAGCAATAATTTCTGGAGGTCCCTCAGAAGCTTGGTCATCTGCATATTCTCCCTGCACAGGTTGAAAATCTGCAGGTTGTCCTTGTCCGTCCACAAGCTGAACAGCCGCAGGTTGTCCGTCGATAACTTGGTCAGTGGCAGGTTGTCCCTGTCCCTCTAGTTGATATCTTTGCTGATCATGATCGGGTTGATAGGCCTCCGCGCCAGTTTTTTTCTCCCCAATAGAGTCCTGTGCAATATCCACAATCTCCTTGCCGATTGGGATGTTCTGGACGCCTTCTGGGTTTATCAAAAAGGGGCATTCCTTGTTCCATTGTACATGCTGATCATGAACGTTGTCTTGTTGCTCCCATTTGTAAATTTGCACACAGCAAAAAGCACAACGGCAGAGGTCACCATCCTAGTGAAAGATATTTTTAAATATAGTTTCTTAAAGTTTTTTCAATTTTTCATATTTTAATTTAATAATGCGATTGAGCGTTATATCAGAGCTAGAATTTTTTTTTAAATCTGACAGTTAATTTATCCTGATAATAAAATCTTTAGAATTACGCCATTTAAAATAAACACAAGACTGCATGGCAGAAATTTTAATAATAATTTGGATGAAAATCTACAAATAATTCTTTCGACAACTATTTTTTTTTACGCTGACAAAAGTAACAAGGTAGAAATTTGATTAACTTGTAACTTACTCCTTCATAATAAAATCCGTCAGCGGCCAAGTCTGCAGGAGAAACATTCCAATCTTCCTTCTTCAAAAGCGAGTACAGCCGGTGCGACTCGAATTTGTAGTTGCGGAGGTTGACGCTCAGAGGGAAGTTTTTGGAATCATTTGAATGTATCAAACAACTTTTTTGACTCAAGATTTGGTCCTTGTCCAATTTGGTCCAATTGTGGATTTCGCTTTCATTGATAACCAGGTGGCAAAAGTTGCACCGCAACTTCATTCCTCCATTTAAGAGCAGACAGTAAAAACCAGCCTCAGCCAAAGTCTCGAAGTCACCTCTGAATTTCTTTCGAAAGTCCACAGTGAATGTAAAATAGCGGTGTAAGGCAATGTTGAGATTGAGGAGATGTACTTTATCGTTTTTCACGGGAGCTCCAGCACACAATTGATCCTTTGACAATGACATTTTCTCCAGATTTGGAACTGGAATAAAATAGAAAATGAAATTTCATATTGTGACGACCATATTCAGTAATAATATGGTCGTCACAATATGTACTTTTTATAGTTTAAATACGTCACGAGCAAATTTATAATTTAAAATACTAAATATTATGTCACAGTATGTAAAATTTTTTTGAGGAAAAAAATATATGATTGATAAAAATATTTGAGTAATTCAAAAAACAAACCAAAAGACTGGGCCGGGTTAGATTTTTGTAAAGCACTAATTAATTTAATAAGTAGCTTATTGGCTTTACTTACACAATAGTTGTCAATACGGGCTGCCAACGTCTGCTGCGTATGGAGAATAAACAGAGTTATTTATATTACTAGATAACTTCATGCGGATGCGACATAAATAATATAGACTTATAAGTCTAATACTTAAAGGAAAAAAGCTTAGACTTTTTAGAAAGTGTTTTCATAAAATGTCTTAGCCAATAAAAGTCTATGGTCATTCTTATCTGGCCTCTAATAGGTAAAATATGGGGTGAGTGTGCAGGAACAATACAAAATATCTTCAGAAAGATTGCTTGAAGCTAAATTTACACTCAGAGAAGAATACATATTTAAATATTATTTTATAAAGTTTTCCCTAATAGGTGCAAGAAGTTGCTGCAGTTTTTTTTCCAGTTTCAGACATTTGCATAGAGTAGAATATTTTTCTAGCTGTAAGACAGAACGCACACCACAATCTAGACAAAAAAAAACATTAGCTAACAAAAATTTCGTTTTCTAGGTTAATACCTACAGTAAGCTCAGCTGTGGCCCTGTTTATGTAACCATCCAGAACAATCTAGACGTTTCCTATTCGAACTAACAGCGGTGTAAAATTTTTATCTGTGACGTTGTTCCAAAGCTATATCTTATCTACGTTTGCTTTCAAATTTTCTGCGAATTGCCCAGCAATCAATCAGTACACGTGCGCAAAGGCTCTATTATGTTGGCCAAAAAAAAGATGTCTTCCGCCGAGCCATAAGGCCCCATGGCTCTGACGGCAGCCGTGTACCAACATAATTTTGGGATGCGCAGCCTTTACACGTGCGTTAAGTATACACAATAGCAAAATATTATTGTGCTTATTAATTTTTGCAAATGGAAATTACCACTAAAAACTTTGAAAGCTTATTAAAACCAAAAAAGCTGAGCATCAAATATGCCTAAATACATCGTTTTCACTTAGATTGTTTTATATAGCTATATTACTAAATATATTTTATAAAATTTTTAATAATAATCTATTTATTTAAAATATTTATGAAATCTCAATGCAAATAAATTGTGGTTTAGATGTTTTTATAAAATATTTATTAAATTATCTTTAAATTGAATTTAAAATTTTATTTCAATGAAGTTATATTTATTTGATAGAAGAAAATGATCATTCAATGATAATAGCAATAAAATAATGCGTATTTTTAAATTCTAAAAGACATAACAAAAATTATTTGTGAAATGTCTACGTATTGTAAATTTTATACATATTCGCATTGAGAGTATTTAGTTGATTTACTTATTTGGCTCCATAAACTGCCACTGATAAGTTAACAAAACTTTAACCCAAAAAAAGTTGGTTCTTAACACTTCAATTAGTTTTCAATTTTATAACTGTTAAGATTCGTTATATTTTCAGAGGGATTTTGTTTTAAAAAGTATTAAAAGGCAAATTTCAGAATTGATAAAATTTGTTTGCATTGGTCAAAAATAAATATAATTGCAATTGGAATTTTGTGCATAGCATATTTAATAAATAATAATATTTCTCAATCTTCTTCCAACTTAAGAATGAACTGGCCAAAGTGGCTTGAAACTGCCATTGCAGAGTCTATTAATATAATTCAAGGAAAACCACAGTGAGGAGTCAAAAAAGAATTACTCCCTCTCTCTTTCTTAACTCATAAATCGTACAAAGGAAAATTTTTGCAAGTACTGTTAAAGTTACAAAATAAGCAAAATCTTTACATTGGCCTCATTGACTTTATCACAAAGCTCCGCTCCTTAAATTCGTTTCCATAGCGACACTTATCAGCCAATTTTGTTCTACGACATTCGATAATCATCGTTCGCCACTTTTGCTCCGAATGAGCATCACTCACTGAAGAGATGCAAAATCTTCTTCCCTTTGCGAGAGATCTTTTTGACGCACTCACATCATATATTTGTGACACTCGGTGCGCACACAAGAGCAGCGAGTTACGCATTACTTGGGCATGAGGAGAGCTGAATGCGCAACACATCCGCAATCATTCTCAGCTTATTCGTCGCGCGCCAAATCCCGTCTGTCACACATGAGGTGCTTTCTTTGCTGGCCGCGGCCGCCGCCGCCGCCGTCCACCGACTGAGTCCCCGCACCTGTCCCACTAGATCGACGCCAAACGATTCCGCACGCACGTGCTCACACGAATGGCCTGTTCACACCTTCGGCTTTGCACTCCCACAATAATATTAAACGGAGGGTCCAGTATAGAACCATGAATTTAATTCAAGTAGCCTTACGGATGGAATCACCTTGTAGGAAAATCTGATCATTTAATGTAACAATTTGTCCCATTCTAATATACATAAAATATCTAAAGTGTGATGTTAATTGGATAGAAAAGGTCTAGGAAAAATTGGACTCTTTAGTCGTTGTAAAATAGATGAGCAGTATCCCTTTTTTTGATTGACCTTTATTTTCCCCGCTTTATTTTGAATTGTATTATATATAAAGGAACTTTAGGGAGTGAAGTAAATTATTAATTCTAAATTTAGAATGCCCTTGTTTTTATCGTCATTAGATAAATCCTCTCTGTTACTCTGCAGTTTTAAACAAATTTGGCCACTTCATTCTTAGCTTGGAAGTAGATTGAGAAATATTTTTTGTTTATAAAATTTTCTATACAAAAAAATTGTAATTGAAATTATATTGACCAGATGCAAAAAAAAAATTACAAATTATGGAAATGCGCATAGCTTATTTAGACTTTTTTAAGCCATATTCCTCTGCGAATCTAACGAATCTGAGCAATTATAACATTGAAAACTAATTAAAGTGATTAAGAATTAACTTTTGTGAGTTTATGCTTGCGTTTAGAAAACTTAATCTTGCAATATCGCTGTGATAGCTTATCAAGCCAAATATTAGTAACGCATTGAAATACTCTCAATGAGTACATGGATATAACGCAGTAGACGCGTTCAGCCCGTGGGGGCCGTGCGGCAACTACTTTACGTGTAAGTAAATAGTATAAGCATCAATACTTGTCTTACTATATTAATGAGTGCCATACAAAAATCTCACTTGGCCCATCAGCCATATCTCTCTTTTGGATAGCACTCGATATTCTTCTCTTTTCAAATATTTATATCAATTATATGCTCTATTATAATAGATTATATATTTGTCTGTTATGCATATTTCCACAAAACTTTGAGCATATAGTGACATAATTTGTTAGATAAATTATCACGACGCATATTATCATGACGTATATTACAATTATAGAAAAAAGTATGATGAAATTTCATTTTCTATTTTATTCCAGTTCCAAATCTGGAGAAAATGTCATTGTCAAAGGATCAATTGTGTGCTGGAGCTCCCGTGAAAAACAATAATGTAGATCTCAAACTCAACATTGCCTTTCACCGCTATTTTACATTCCCCGTGGACTTTCGAAGAAAGTTTAGAGGTGACTTTGAGTCGTTGGCTGAGGCCGGTTTTTACTGTCTGCTCTCAAATGGAGGAACTCATGAGTTGCGGTGCCACTTTTGCGACCTGGTTATCCATGAAAGCGAAATCCACAATTGGACCAAATTGGACAAGGACCAAATCTTGAGTAGAAAAAGATGTTCGATACATTCACATGATTCCAAAAACTTCCCTCTGAGCGTCAACCTCCGCAACTTCAAATTCGAGTCGCACCGACTGTACTCGCTTTTGAAGAGAGAAGATTGGAATGTTTCTCCTGCAGACTTGGCCGCTGACGGATTCTATTATACAGGAGTAAGTTACAAGTTAATAAAATTTCTACCTTGTTACTTTTGTCAGCGTAAAAAAAATAGTTGTCGAAAGAATTATTTGTAGATTTTCATCCAAATTATTATTAAATTTCTGCTCTGCAGTCTTGTATTTATTTTAAATGGCGTAATTCTAAAGATTATATTATCAGGCTAAACGTATTGTCAGATTTTAAAAAAATTCTAGCTCTGATATAACGCTCAATCGCATTATTAAATAATATATGAAAAATTGAAAAAATTTTAAGAAACTATATTTAAAAATATCTTTCACTAGCATGGTGACATCTGCCATTGTGCTTTTTGCCGTGTGGAAATTTACAAATGGGAGCAACAAGACAACGTTCATGATCAGCATGTACAATGGAACAAGGAATGCCCCTTTTTGATAAACCCAGAAGGCGTCCAGAACATCCCAATCGGCAAGGAGATTGTGGATATTGCACAGGACTCTATTGGGGAGAAAAAAACTGGCGCGGAGGCCTATCAACCCGATCATGATCAGCAAGGATATCAACTAGAGGGACAGGGACAACCTGCCACTGACCAAGTTATCAACGGACAACCTGCGGCTGTTCAGCTTGTGGAGGGACAAGGACAACCTGCAGATTTTCAACCTGTGCAGGGAGAATATGCAGATGTCCAAGCTTTTGAGGGACCTCCAGCTAAGCTACGAATTATTGATGAACCACAAAACAATCAACATGATCACAATGAAAATAACTGAACTGCATTGCATTATACATATTTTACGTTGCTTCGTTGTTATTGCATGTAATATCACTTATGACACAATAAGAGAGAGAAATAATGATAAATTAATAAATTATTTCATCTAATGCAAATTGAGGGCTGTGGTTTTTAATTTTTATCTTTTTGTCTATGTATGCACTTATTTTTTTATTATTATTTTTAATTATTTTACCTTTTACTAAAAGTTTGAAGTGTTTTTATTATATAATTAAAATTCAGGCAGAGGTTGATGTTAAACTATGAAAACTGACAGTTAAAGAACAATCTGCCATTGTGATGAATTGTTAGTTTTGGAACGAAAATTAATTGAAAATGATTGACTTAATAACTTTACAGATAATACTCTAGAATTTTAATATGGAGTGCAAAATAAAATAATTTCAAGAATTGATTGGATTGTAATCAACTAATCAACTTCCTCTGATTGTGAGACTATTTTTCATATTGTTCCAAAGAAAGAAAATGAGGCTTATTTGGGAGTGGTTTCGATTTTTTTCCATTTTTAAAAAATAAAAAATGAAACGTGTTAACATTTGTTTAAATTTTGGCCTAAATATTTTAAAATTCGCGAAAAAAAATCATATTTTCGAATTTTAGCTTTGTAGGCTTTGCAATTGCACTGAATAAAAAACTAATTGCCGGAGTAACCTTTGTGTCGAATCAAAGCGGCTTTGTGTCGATCGCATGGTGGGTGCAGTGCAGAAAAGCCGCGTCTCTCTCAGGACGCGACTCAAAGGCTCTTTTGCTTGATTAACACTTGGTCACAGCTGGGTAATTTCTCTCCATATACAACAACTCTGTCAGTGCGCGCCTCTCTAAATATAATATCTGCCGCACACGCCCGGCCCTTTGCCTTCTAATAGAGATATGGGCACCTAATCAGGTGTAAACTGTGAACCTGTGGCTTCCCCATCGGCGACCGACTCGCCTGCCATAAACGCACACACGCGCCTGCATGACGGACCTTCGCTTTCGAGCCTTTCATCATTCGACTACAAAGAGCTCAACAAACAAAAAGGGAATTACAATTTCACCGATTTGCATTTGTAGAAATTTCGCTCTCTCAGCTGCGGCCACGAATGGTGCAGCAAGCACCATCAGTGGTCGCGCGAGGAAGTGCCGGTTTTACCCCGACATTATATATTCGCGTTATTGATTTATCAGAAAATTGATTGCGCGACTAATTGAAAGACAATTTGTAAAACTTCTTCGTTTTATTTTGTGGTAGAATTTTTTTGATTCATGGTGATTTGAATTTAAAATCAGCTTTTCCTCGATGGGTTTTTGTTAGTTGTTTATTGTTTCAGAAAAACAATATCCTGCTCTACATGTTTCGGCTTTTGGAAAAAGATTTATTTTTGTACTAATTTTTGTCGAAATGTTTTTCGCAGCTCATGAATTATGGCTGCAGCCCGTAGCTGAAACATTAGAGCAGGGTATTGTTTTTCTGAAACAATAAACAACTCACAAAAACCCATCGAGGAAAAGCCGATTTTAAATTCAAATCACCATTCTTCGTTTTAATTACCGTTTGCTGGCTCTCCCAAGTTTTGTATTTTCCGATTATTGCATTAATCAAATTGTTTTTGCAAATAAATTTTCTTTTTTTAAAATGGCTTAATTCTTCCAAAAAACTTTATATGAATTCTATACAAAACGGCAGCTTTTGATGAGCCTTTGTACAGTATTGAATCATTGTAGATTGAATTTTGAAAAAAAAAAAACATTTCGTTCTTTTTGTTCATTAAATCCTCAAATTTTAACTCTTCCTATTTAAACCCGCCAAACCAATAAAAGAAATCTCTACTTGTACCAAAAAATGAACTGGCAAGAATTGTTTCAAGCTAAATGATTTGACAACATCTCGATAGAAAACAATGGTTTATACCTTTTTCGCGCTGCATATTGAATGTGAAAGTTGATGCTTTAAAAATCTTGCACGTTTTTGTATGCTTGGTAAAAAATGTCCTGCTGTGCAAATCAATGTATAAAAAAAAACCAGTCGGTCGTTGAGAGTAAATAAAAATATACAATTTTTCCAACGCGGCAGCCCTCATCAAAGTACAAATACGCGAAAAATTCCTTTGTTTGCACATTATTATTTTTCAGAATTACTCGGTGGAAAAATTTAACGACGCTGATGGAAAATTAGAGCGGCAAATGAGCAGCATTTGAGGTTGTGTTTTGGAGCGCGCGCGCGCAGCCGAATAATAAAAAGCAGCAAGCTCTGTGTGTGAAATGAAAAATTCACAATTTTTTTTTCGCAAACGGCAACAGAGCGCGGTGGAAAATAATATGTGGAAAACAACGGAACGGGAAAATCTCGTCTGGAAAATTTGTGCATACAAATATTTTTAGTCCACTGGGCACATATTTGCGTATATTTTTTTTTCACCACGTGCGTGTATATATTTTGTCAATCAAAAGAGACCGCCGCTGCTTTCTGTCCATTTGTTGTGTGCACTGGAAATATGAATTCATATTTTCTACCGGCCATGATCAAAAGAATAATGCTTCGGCCGCGCGGCTTTTCAGCACAAAAAGACCGCTTTAACGTCCAATTTGTGACCATCAAATAAATGAAAAATGCTCTCTTTCTCCCTCTGTTGCGCCGCTCTCAACGTGCCGCCGCTTCCTGTTGTGAGACTGTCACGCATCATTACTGTGAACTCCTAATTTGCTCAACTGGAATAACTTATAAAAATTTCTATATTTCCCCCGCCCTTTGTTTTGAAAAATTATCTTCCATCGGTATGGTATCAAAAATTTTTATAATTTCAAATTGATTGTATGGAAAAATAGGGGGTTTTTTTTAACGGAAATCATTTTGGCAAACAGAAAATAATAAAAAAGGGCGTGGAAAACTCTTGAGTTAAAAATGAATTGATGCAATGAATTTGAAATTTTAATTTAAATAATGATCATTATTAAGTTCAAAATAAAAATACATTTAATTTAAATAAAATTTAACAGGATTTTGGTTTGCTTTTCAACAAGAACATTGATAAAGATATTGACTCACTTTTGCGGTCAACTTTGTTCATGCTGAAAAGGAAATAATAGAACTGATAAGCTTTTTCTCCATTTTTTGGTATTGAAAATAGAAAAAGCCGGATGTGTTTTGCATCCGTGAGCTTAAAAAGGAGCTTTTGGAAAATTCACTTTATTTTCGACAGCAAACTTGAAATATGGAGACAGCTCACAACTCCTACATTGATCCGTTCACTGTTGCCGGTCCTTCTGAATCTACGAAGAGAAATTTGCCAAAGAGGTCTCCAGGGACCAAAAAGCCAAAATTTAATTATTTTGAAGCAGAAGCCAAAATCAGGTTGATCTTCTGCATTCTCGCCCTTGTTGTTGCCATTGGCATTTGCCTCATCTTCATTCTTGTCGCAGTGAGCAAAAATCTCTTGATAATCAATTGCAATAAGTCATAATTAGATATTTAATTAGTGATTCATGAACTATGAAGCGTTCTTTAGCAACAAATCCATGTAATTTGTGTTTAAGGATCTGCGATTTATATATTTTAAAATAATCATTAAACTATATTATCTACAAAAATTTGAACAATAACATTTATTAATAAATTATTTTTTATGTTTGGATTATATTTAAATTTTAATTATTTATAAATTTGTAATATTAATTTTCAAATTAATTTTTTATTGTTGATTTAGTATGAAGTTCCGTATTTAAATTGCAGTTGTACATGGAAATGAGCACTAAACCGAAATGTATGACTGTAATGCCCTGGAATTCATCTTCAACCAACAAAACATGCGATGATGAAGTAAAAGCTTTTTGATTATTTTTAAAATGTCATGATTGCATTTTTCTTTAAATTTATTATTAGATAAACGTAGAAATGACGGGGACATCTGATTTATATGTTGATCATATGCAAAACAACAAATTCTTCAAAGGAATGGTATAGAATGACGAATTTTTAGTTTACCAACTCTTTTTCAGGAAGAGCATTTATTGCACTTTCGCATTACATTTATATTTTCTTTCATTAAAATAAATTTCGAAACTCACATTGTTATGATGTGTGTATTTTAAAATTACAGGAAACCGGTTCACGATTTTTAGTCCATTGTAATTCTGCCCGTGAGTTAATCTTTTAATATATTTTGCTGGATATATTTGACATAAAATGCAAAATAAATAAACTTTTTGATTTGGTTCAAATAGGTTCAGCAAAGTTGTCTAAACTTGCAAATGGGAAGAAATATTTATTTTCCCATCCAAAAATTGTAAGTTATTTAATTTTACGTTAATCGCTATATTCTCATATATTCGCATATATTAAAGGCAAACTGGACTTTTGCTGTTGAGAGTTGTATCAAAATGGGTCTCCAAATTGCTAACTTGAAGAACCATAATGACCTTAAGGTAGTGCACGAGAAGGCAAAAGAATTGGATCAATATTCAGGCAAGAAAGTTTTATTTTAACATGAAATAATGATAGGCTTAAATCCAAATTTCACGAGTTTTTTCCTAGAGCGTAGGAGTTAAAATAAATCACCGTTAGCATTTTATGCAAATTTAATTATTAATTTTCAGATTGGTTGGTTTCCGCTAGTTTCAGGACTAAGTTAGAGCCAAAAAATAAGGCGGCAGATGTTTTTAATACAGGAGAATGCGTCGTTATTTGGACTAATGGATCGAGCAATGAACTGTATACCAATAATTGCATGCATTACAATTATTTCATTTGCGAACTACCAACTGAATGTTACTGATATAACATCAAACTCTTGACTGCGATCTAAAGAGCAATAAATTTAGGTTACATTTTTGTAGCATAAATTTTATACCGAAAAAATAATAATATTAATAAATAAATAAATATTAAATATATAATAAAAAAATTAAATAATAATAATTCAAATAATTTAGACAAAGTAGTTAAGTTCTTTTAAATGGAGCCAAACTTATATAAAAAATTGCTTCATTTGTCATTTTATAATTTAAAACATGTGTACAAATATATTTTATCATGTGATTTTGGGCGAAAATGAGCATACTAAGTATGAAAAATTTTATTTAGAATTTTTGGACAATTTTTGGGACTTTTTAGCAGAATTTTAATTTTAACTCATGTGTCTGTTCAATGCAAATGGTTTTTAATACAAACTTTGCCATGTTTTTATTTATATTTTATATCAGTGCTCATGTCATTAATTTTTGAAAAAAAAAATGAAATTAATTAGTCAGAAAGATTTATATTTTTAACAAAATTGCCCAATTTTTGTGGGGCTTTTGTGTCTTCTATAAAATTATTCTTATTTCTTAAATTTTTAAATCTAAAATAAACATTTTTTTCCGGAAAAATGAAAAAAATGTTAATTAATCTGTATTATTTGACAAAATTATTATTTTAAAATGATCAAAAATTATTAGTATTCAGTGGTAAAAAGGAGCCTCTATACAAAAAGTTACCGTTTCTGAGAAACTCTGAAAA